CACTCAATCATGTCTGACTCTTGTGACCCCATGGACTGTAGCCCACCAGGCTCCTCTGTCCATGGGATTTCCCAGGCAAGAATACTAGAGTGGGTTGCCATTTCCTTCTCNACTGCCATTTCACCCCATTGTCATCTCGTAGGAAACCCATTTCCCATTCTTGCTGGTATCTTTGCCCTGGCGGAAGAAAGAGCAGACTCTGCTAGAACCAACCTCCTTGTCAGGAAGAAAGCCAAATATTGGAAGAAAGCCAAATATTGCTCGCCCAGAACTAGTCCACTGATACAAGTACCATATATGACCTTACAGTATTATCTCCAGATGTTTCCAAGATGAAAGATAAAACATGTAATGGGCTCTGAAGGCTAAATTGTATTACACTCTCATTTTAACCCCTGTGATGGAAGCTGAGAGGTCAGTGCTAGTGACATGGTCAGTAAGATCTTGTCCTATCAGAGGACTTGGGTTTAGGTCCTAAGTCTATACTGAGCATTGTTTCATCAAAATAGTCACCCTGCTGTTGAACTATGCAGCGCCTAATAATTGTAGTCAGCCCTGGCATTGCATAGACTCCAGCCTAGCATGGTACCAGGGGAGTCTAGGGCATGAGCAAGAGGATCGATCCTTCCTTCTCTTCAACTTCACAATCACATGCATATAAATGCCAAGTCAGTTTCTATTATTCAGGTAAATGGAAATTTTATGTGTGAACTTGTTAGTCTGGAACCTTTGAAGGATGGTGAGATTGATTTTAAAAATGAAAAACTCGATTCAAACAGTGCCTATTGAGCTAGAAATGGGGTTACCAGGCCACCGTCTTGTGGAAATTAAATCAGCACGAACAGATGTGGAGCAGGGCAGACGTCATACCTCCCAGGGCTTCCTTAAAAAAAAATCCTGTTAACTACACTTGACCTCTATAACTGCTTTTGGCTTCTGCTTTTTGTTTTTAGTCAAAAACACGCACTTCATTCACGTCTTTATAGAACAGAGAGAAAAATGCTCAAGTGTATAACTTTTTGCATAATAACGTGACTCGGCTGCGCCCTTAAGAAAATGAGTTGTGGTGAATACTTATCACTTAAAGGCAAAATGTCCTCTAATCGAACTTAATGAATTGAACTTTATTTGAACTTGATGAATTGACTTCTGTTGACCAAGATTTCATAAGACGTTATTGTCTCTGAGTTTGCTGGTTTATTGTTATTGCCATATCCTCTTTCTGTACTCAACCAAAGTCATGTTGTCTTGAGCAGTGTATGTTTTCTAATTTACACTGCTCTACCAAGAGCATGTTGCAAGTACAAGAGCTTTGTATCCAAAGTCCCCCTATCTTGAAATTGGAATGTGGGGTGATTCATGAGTTTTGCCTCAATTATTAAACAGTCATAGATGAAGATACGCAAAAGATGGATAGGGCAGTAAAATACTCTGGTTACACCTATTGGCTTAGCCATGATAAATGAGTCAGGAAACATGAAAGTTCAAAACAGGTATTAACTTGAGTTGCCATGGCACATGTTCTGAAGGGAAGCAGACAATACCCAGGTATAAACAGCCTAGATACAGACCAGCTCCCTGGCAGCGTTAAGAGCAAGGTCAGGACTTGGCAAAAGACTAAGGGATTTCAGCATCCTGCCATGCCAGTCAGTCTTTCTCTGACAAGTTTCTCAAGGGAGATATAGCACAATGATAACACTTGGAAAACAAAGGAGGCATTTATTTACCTCCTTTATATATCAGGGGACAAGCCTGATTGCCCATAGTGCAGAGTTCTAATGACATTGCCTTGGATCACGTGGTTTAGACTTGAGTTTGAATCCCACCTGCATTTTAATGCAATTTGACCCATGTGCATCTTAGAGAGTAAAGATGTTTTCACAGGGTCCACACAAAAAGACAAGATGCATATCATCCTTGGGAGACTGAGTTTTGTTTCCCTTGGAGTGACATTTGCTTAGAAACTGAGCCAGAGACCAACCTTGGAAAAAGCTACTTGCCCCTCCCTTCCAATACTCAGCGTCACCAAAAGGGAAGACTCATCTCAGTTCAATACAGTGGCCCCAGAACCCATGTAGAGCTCCAACGTCTGTGTTCATGTTGCTGCTGAGAGGAAGGGCTTCAGATACCCTTACGCAGAATCCTGGGGCCCTGGTGGTTCAGTGGGTAAAGAATCCACCTGCAATGCAGGAGACATGGGTTTGATTCCTGGTTTGGGAAACCCCCCTGGAGAAGGAATATGGCAACCCACTCCAGTATTGCGTAGAGAATCCCATGGACAGAGGAGCCTGGTGGGCTACAGTCCATGGGGTTGAAAAGAGTCAGACACAACTGAGGTGACTTAGCACAACACACATACCACAAGCAAAATCTTAGCCTTAAAGACATGAGCACGGCACTGTTAACTCCCAAGCCTGGGCTCCCCATCACCCTCTCATTGCTCCCTGCTCCTCTTTCCCTCCAGGAGGTGTCTGGCTCATTTTTTAGTGCTTGACAGAAGCCTGGAAGTGAAAAGAAACAGCCATGTCTGCCTTAGCTTCTCCCCAAAGCCAGGAAGCTGGGTGAATAACCTCATTGCTAGCCACTCACTGAAAAGCCAAAGCAGCAACTAATGTGAGAAGTGTCTCCTAGCACTGGAGTGTTTTTCAACCAGGGCATTCTGAGGCAACTGGAAACATTAAACAGGCCTCTTGTCCCCTCTGTACGTGAGAGTGCTTTGCTAAGACACGCAAACTGTAACAAAGGAAAGTGGTCGATCATTCACTCGAGGTGACTGGCTTCCCAACCTTGCTGGGCTCACCTGCTCCCCCCTGGGCTCTTGTTCTAAAAACAGGCCTTCTAAACTTGCATCAGGGACTGAGTAGCCATGCAGCTTATTTTGTGTTTCCTTAAGGTAGTGTTCATTTGGAGGGCTCTTCTCGAGTGAATGGATGGGATGTCCAGTTGAGATTGTCCATAAGGAATGGAGTGGCTTTTTCTGGAAGGAGCACTCTAGAGACTAGAAGTCAGAAGCGGGTGACCCACAAACCATTTTAGTCCGATAGACAGGATTATATTTTTTTTAAAGTCATTGCACTCAGAAAAAAAATCATTGGTTGCCAATCTATAAAACTGAAGAGGTTTTCATGTAAAGCTCTGGGTTTCCAGCTTCTTTTAAAAAAATATGACATCCCTTATTCATGGAATCTAAAAAGAAATGATGTAAATGAACTTATTTACAAAGCAGAAACAGATTAACTGACTTAGAGAGCAAACTTATGGTTACCAAGAGAAGAAAATGAGGGGAAGGGATGTTAGGGAGTTTGGGATGGACATGTACACACTGCTCTCTTTTAAATGGATAACCAATAAAGACCTACTGTGTAGGACAAGGAACTCTGCCCAGTGCTGTGTGGCAGCCTGGATGCCAAGGGAGTTTGGGGGAGAATGGATCCATGTACATGTGTGACTGGCTGCCTTTGCTGGGCACCTGAAACTCTCACAACATTGTTAAACAACTATACTCCAATATAAAATAAAAAGCTTTTTTAAAAAATCAGAATATCTGGCAACACAGGTAATATTTCCTAGTCCCAGTTGGCTTGAGCCGAGTAGCCACTTGTCTTTTAAGAGGAGACAAGCTTCCTACCTCACCTGATTTCCTTCACTCCCCATTCCCTCGTGGCCCTGTAGGATTTGAACCTGTTACCACTGGGGTCAGTCATCTAAGACACCAGAACAGAAATCATGAATTATTCTTTTAAATGCGCCTGGCTTGAAAGTGATTATAGGTTATGCCTTATTCTTTTTTCTTCTGCACAAAGAATGACCATTTAAAACATTTTCATGTATGGAAAAGGACAGTTAGAAGCAAAGTGGAGAATTTCACACTACTTACCTGAATCAATCGGGCATATAAAGAAAATCCTGAAATGATGATATTAAAGTAAGAGTTGAGATTTGAATTATTCAGGGGTAATTGCCTTAGTTTTCCAGCTCACTATTTCCCCTTCGCTTTCCTTACATGGACACAATCTTCAGAATGTACCTCTGTCAAAGGCCACAGTCATAATTCCCCCGCCTCATTTTTTATTTTTTTTTTTAACTCATTTGCACTCTTGGTAGTGATTGTTGGAGCCCTGTGGGGGAATAATTGCAGAGGAATTAACCTCTGACATTTTTCTAAAAATAGCCCTAATAAATCCAATCATAGGTAATTTACCTGTCCGTGTTCCTCCAGGGATAACCAGTATTGAAGAAAGGCTTGGCAGGCTGGCATTCCTTCAGCAATTATCTGTGATCTGAGTTCCTGGCGCCTGTGTATTTTCTCTGTTTAGAGATACACAGTACAAATTTCCCTCTCCCCTCTGACCTCGTGACCCTATTTTCTCAGCACCTTTCTCCTTGAGTTGCAATAAAGCTCTGCTCTTCCAGAAGGGTGTGATGGGCTCACCAGAAAAGGGGGAGCATTTCCAAGGTTCCTCCTTGAATTTCCAACTCCTGGAGTTTCCCTGATGGTTCCTCTGAATTGTGTCCCTTCATTTTCCATGTCTGAACTTCAAGCATCTCAGTCCTGCTCATCAGCCTTCAGTCCTCATTTAGATTCCACAACTGAACCCCATTTGGGGAAGTTTCTTGGTGTAGAAGAAAGGGGGATGCAGAAGGCCATGGGTGGGAAAAGAGTCTGTGGTTGGTAGAAATTATCAAAGAAAATTGCCATCTCCCAGAGCCATAAGAAAACTCGTTTTCTATTGCCCAAAACAAAAGAATCTGCATGTGCTTTTTCCTTTTGTTCTCTCCAGTTGTTCCTGGAGACCACAGTTCTGTGTGGGCATCTAGGAAATTTACTTCCCCAAGTGCCACTAGAAGTGGCACTTCAAATACAGGACATAAAATCCTTGTAAATTCCACTGCAGAGACAAAGCCCTAAGCCCTTAAATGCGCAGAAAAGTACGTCTATTATCTATCGTTTGAAAGTAAGTGTGCAGTTACTTAAATTGCCTTTGTCTTCTTCTTTTCAGCTGACATTATCTCTACGGTAGAATTCAACCACACGGGAGAATTACTAGCGACAGGGGACAAGGGGGGTCGGGTTGTAATATTTCAACGAGAGCAGGAGGTAAGTGGCAGTGAATGCAAAATGCCCATTTTCTCTTCTTTTTAAAGGAGGCCTCCCACTGTTTCTTAATCCTCATGTGTCGCCCTTAACCTTGCTGCTTGGCTTGCAAACTAAAAACTGCCAAAAAGTCATTAACATCAACAGTTGCACAGGCTCACAAAAGCACCTGGAATTAGAGCCTTTTCTGGACAAAGTCTTCCTTTCCAATCCTGGGTACTGCACATTCAAAACGACCTCATTTCTCTGGATCTGCAAAATGCCACAGATGCTTGTAGAGTGTAACACCTCCTTTCTCAGTGGGGTTAACTCTCTTGGATTTAGAAATTCAGGGACTCCTAACAGAATACCTGGGATAAAAGATACAGCCTTTCCCCAACAGATGTGAAAAGGATAACTTGGCTCAGAAAAGAAAATGTAGCTCCCTCTACCAAAGCAAGTGAAATCCCGGAAAATGACATCTGAGCAAAGAACGTGGTTCACACTTTACTATGCCCGTGCTTGCTAAGTCACTCAGTCGTGTCCAACTCTTTGTGACCCATGGACTGTAGTCTACCATGCTTCTCTGTCCATGGGATTCTCCAGGCAAGAATACTGGAATGGGTTGCCATGCCCTCCTCCAGGGGATCTTCCTGACCCAGGGATCAAACCCACATCTCTTACGTCTCCTGCCTTGGCAGGCGGGTTCTGTACTGCCTGGGGGAAGGCCACACTTTACTATGGATGACATGAAGTTCCCTGCAGCTGAATCCTCTATGCCTTCCAAGCAGGAGTCATTAACTCCCAGTGAATCTCAAAAAGCCCATTTCTTCCTGAGACTTGGGTTCCACTAGGAATAGCTTCTCTTTTTCATATAAATTGAGTTTTTTTGGGGTGTCTGCTTCTGCTCCGTCAGAACAGAATTATGGCCCAATTTGATTTCCTTGGCCTCCCCTGGCAGGGTCCTGAAGCTTACAGCAGGCCAGTCTGTGTTCAAGTGACTCTCCCATCTGCTACTGCCTGCCTCGGAGATTCACCCAGTGTGGCGTGGCAGGAGGCCCCCCATGTGGGAGGGAGGCTTCACAAGAGACTTCCCTAGCAATTTAAAGCCTGCTTTGTGCCTCAAAGCCATTTGTGTTCCATCTCCCCTCCAAAAAGGGAAGTCTCATTTAGAGGTGATATATTTGGTAATTGCACATTATTTGCAATTAATTTCTATAAGGGCATGGTAATCCCTCGGGGTTCTGTATGAATTCAAGTGTTCAGCATTAATTCAGGCACCCAGCCTATTCCATTGGCCCTGGAAACACGAAAATGTGGTTGGCAAGTAGAAACTAATAGCTCTTCGTGACCTGGAATTTTTCCTGCTTTTCCGGAGCTGCCTACTGCTAATTGGTCTGGCACATACTCCACACACTTGACAGTCTGATTTGGATGGTAGCAAATCAAGGCTCTTAAAAATTTATTGTTCAGGTGGACTAGCTCTTTCTTCAGTAAACAGGACAGGAGCGAGTATGTCAGCCTCTAAAGTCCTTTTAAAATTGATTTTTAAACCTTCTTCTTCAATTTTTTTTAATCCAATTAGGTTCCTAATAATGATAAAGAGAAACCAGAGGAGCTGTTTAGCATAAATTACCCAAGGCAGCATGTTGCCAGTAATATTCCATTCCGTGTTTCCCATTAGCTATTTATAGGTTTCACCTATTTTAATTTACTGAAATATTTGGGAAGCCTGATTCATTAGTAGAATGGAGGGGGACACATTTTCCAAAGGCGAGTGGTTTTGTTCAATAAGGAAAAAAATGTTGAGAATAATAACACGCAGTTCACCGTTGAGTTTTGTGGCAAGGCTTGGGGTTGAATGAACGCTGACCTTGAGAAACACAGGCATGTGGCAACATCTAAGTCAGATCTCCTCTCAGCTCCTGTGGGCGACTCCTGTGTATGAATGCTCAAGTGACACCATCCTGGAGAATTTGCTCAAAGAACCTCAATGCCCTCATGAGTACATTTAACATCAGTACCATTACCTATCAGTAAATTGAGGCTTGGGTTTGAATGTCCAGTATCCACCCAGAAATAGTTTGTTTGTTTTTTTAATTTAAAGCTTTAATTAAGAGTCATGCATCTATGACAAATGCCTAATAAGGCCTGGATTTGAATTTGTGCACATAGTTTTCCCAAGCCTGAATCTTGAGACTCTTGGTCACAAGATTCTAAAATGCAAACCTCCCCTCCATCTTTCCCTTCTTCCCTTTCTCTCTCACACCCTCTTTTCCTCCTGTCCATCTTTCTTCTTTCTCTTGTCCCTTTCTCCACACTCTCTCTTCATGTTCTGTTCTCTCATTATTTATTCAGTTCCTGCTGTGTGCACTTTGCATAATCGATGCTAAGGGAAAGCCAGTGTAAAGTTTCATAGTTCTCCCAATGATCTGCATGTCTTCTCTGCCCTCATGTCTGTTTTGTTACTCATGATGGGAAAAGGAGAGGGAGAGATCTGATCCTAATAAGCTGTGTGTCATTTTAATATCTCTGAGCCTGTTTGGTCCATTTCCCTGCCCTGGGAACCTCTCAGAGATTCTGTGAAGATCTGATGAGTTATAAAAGGCCAGTGAGGTATGCAGATGCTGCAGTTCTGTGTTCTTCGCAAAGGATTGATATGCATCTACATGGACATCAGCATTGGATGACTCATTTCTAAGGGTGTCCAAGACATCCATTAGGACACAGAAAATATTAGAACATCTATTGATTTTAAAATCATGTTGTTGGGACTTGCCTGGTGGTCCACTGGTTAAGACTGCATGCTTCCATTGCAGGGGGTGTGAGTTCGATTCCCGGCCTAGGAAGTTCTGCATGCCATGTGGCACAGTCACCTAAAAAAAAAAAAACTCATGTCCTACTTCAACTTCTATTTCTACATATATTTTATGATGTATACCCTATGCCCATGCAGCAGTTTATGTATATAATTTATAAATAAAAATATGTAAATATTGGAGGTGCCAGTGTTTACCACCAGGGGTGCACAGTCAAATGACATGAGGCCACGGAGCTGAAGAGGAACCTGTGGTCAGCATAGTCCTGCCCTCAGCCCGCTCGGACGCAGTCTGCCTATCCCACCTCTCATGATCCTGCTCAAAAAAAGAAGGAACTGGTGAATTTTCAGTTGGCTTATATGATTTAATCTTTGGTGTATGTGTTCTTTTCCCTTCCTACAGAGTAAAAATCAGGTTCATCGTAGGGGTGAATACAATGTTTACAGCACATTCCAGAGCCATGAACCCGAGTTCGATTACCTGAAAAGTTTAGAAATAGAAGAAAAAATCAATAAAATAAGATGGCTCCCTCAGCAGAATGCAGCCTACTTCCTTCTGTCTACTAATGGTAGGTGAAGGTGACTTACCTCGTTTGGTGTTTTCAGAGATATAGTCAGCAAACCATGTATTTTAATCTCTCTTAGCCACCATTTTCCTTTTTACCTTGCAGGCTGTTGGAAAACTTAGAAACCATACTTGCAAGATGCCTAGCAGAATGCCTGACTGAGAATAGAAACTCAGTAAATTGTACTTACTCTTTTTAAAAAAATAACAAATTTATGACTGAATTCTGTGAGACTTCTTATCTGTAGTTTTTGACAAATGCAGATTATTTCCAGGTGTTTTTGGAATGTGACTTCCTGTCTTAAGATTCACTGAATGTTATTCTGGGAACACATTTCAGGAAACAAAACATGCCGTCCCTATATATTTGGCCCACTCAATAGAAGTTATTAATCCCTGAATATATTTGGGGGTTTGGAAAGCAGATGTCTTTGACACAAGCAAGCGCCCTACTAGGAACATAGGTCAAGAAGACAGGAAGGAAAGTAGAGAAAGTAAAAGTCACTCAGTTGTGTTCAACTCTTTGAGACTCTGTGGACTATAGTCTGCCAGACTCCTCTGTCCATGGAATTCTACAGGCAAGAATATTGGGGTTGGTAGCCATTCCCTTCTCCAAGGAATCTTCCCAACCCAGGGACACCATCAAAAAATGGATCACGTAATGGTTTCTTCTCTTTCTCCCTCCATACTTTTCTTACATCATTTATTGGTTTGGGAAGGAATTGATATAAATGGATCAGAGAGAGAGGATGTTAGGGGTTGCATAGAGAACTTGATTCTATACTAATCTTTAAGCCTCTATACAGTGGAATTACCAACTCTAAAGGTTTTTAATACTCTACTTGAAAGAAGCCATCTGTGCTCAAAACAATTCAGGATAAAATCAAATACAAAAGGGTGCTAATTGAATAGCATAACAATTAAGAGGCTTAGTACACACAAATTAAACACCCTCTGCCAAACAAATAAGCTGGAAAGAGACTTATTTCATCATCCTCTGTGTGAGTCTTTGAGGAGTGTACATTTAAGTATAAATCAAAAAACATGGGGTTTGCTTTTTGCCTATCTCCAGCATTTATTAAGAAAGGGTAATGCTCATATGTCAAGATAAAACAAAATGCAGACTGTATATATACAATGATCAAACCTATATTAGCATTTTTGAAGACTGAAATGAAGCACACTGAAAGATTTATTGTAAGTAATCTTATGCATTATGAGTGACTTGTCAATTTGTTACTTTTATTGTTTTCATTTTCTAAGTTCTTACAATTTTTATTTTAATATCATGATAAAAGAGGGAAAGTTTTTAATGTATATGAACCCCCCAAATCCCTCAAATGTAAAAGCCAGTGTATAAATCTATAAAGTAATGGTTCTGCAGTAGCCAGCATAGCGTTATTCAAGCATAGTTTATCTCAACATGACCAGATTTCCGCTCATCTGTTTCTCCAGATTCCAAGTAATTTAATTCTTTCTCATAATTGTATTTATTGTTTTGTTTACATTTTTGTGTTAGTTGTTCAGTTGTGTCCGACTCTTTGGGACCTCATGGACTGTAGCCCGCCAGGCTCCTCTGTCCATGGGATTCTCCAGGCAGAAATACTGGAGTGGGTTGTCATTCCCTTCTCCAGGAGATCTTTTGATCTTGATATTCCAAAAGTGAATTTGTTTCAAGTTCTTCTCTCTTAGTTTTAAGTTTTCCTCAAAGGCTCAACAGACTCAACACAACTTAGAATGGAAGAAACTTCTGATGATTTTGACGTAATTACTTCAGGCAGAGAAAAAGTATCTGATTATCTTCTCTAGGCTAGCTTTGTATTATGAAATTTAGCCTATTGATTATTATAATAAAAGTCAAAGACATATTAACTACTTTGTGGGGGGATGGGGAAGAAACCAGTGAAATGCAATGAAGATTAATTATATAGCATAATGTTCTGTTAATTGAGTTTTTAAATAGTTTTTTGATTAACAAGGATATTATCTTCCCATTTGGGATGCTATTTCATATGCCACCAGCATCTCAAAATGATTCTTAGAAGACAAATCCCCATGCTCATATGTGATTTTCTTTTTTATACTAATATTAAGGTTGAGAATTCCCCTTAAGGCAAATAGGTTAACATGGAAAAATTAATGGAAGACAATCGGAATTACTGTACAAAAGAGACAATGAAGATAGATGATAAGATTGTGTTTAAAGATGCCACAAGTAATGATAAACTACTCAGAGAGCCAGCCAAAAGGAAGAAAAAGTCATTACTCATGGTATCAGCCACATGTTTCTCAGACTTTTTATCCACAAAGCTTCAAGATACTGAGTCAAGAAAAATTGTGATAATAAAGTCAAGAATGACTCCAGGCATCCTAACCATGGGGAATCGAATTGAATTCACCATCAATTATCTTTTTTTAAAAAATTGTGCTTATCTCATTATAGCTGGGTACAGTTTTTAATCTTCTGCTAGAATACAGTCCCAGCTTTACAGTTTTTAATGAAAAATAAAGCCAACATTCAGTTGTGAAGCTAGACCTTAAAATTATTCACCAGCTGAAGACACATTACTTTACTTAGATGTCTACTTCTATCATAATACCTATGATCAGGTGAAAAGGTATACTTAATTTGTTTTTCATGCTATGAAAGTAGTAATTGCTCATTGTAAAAAATTTATAAAATTCAGAGAAGCAGAGTGAAGATAAGGAAAGTATTCCTATCCAGAGAGAACCACTATTAATGGTTTTTTAAAAGGAATAGAAAAGTGACTTGGATAAATCTGTTTCTTACCAAAAATGAGACATATTCTATAACTTTACAACCAGATTTTTAATTTAATAATATAATAGTAACAGGAATATCTTTGTAATTGTGAAATATTTCTCCTAAAATAACATTTTCAATGACAGCATAGTATTCCATTGTATGACTTTTCTACAGTTTATTAATGTCTCCCATTTCTAGACCCTTAACTAATTCTCAGTTATACATTATGTGGAGATAGATGTTGGTATAAATAGATAAATGATTGGGGGAAAGGCATAGTATAAGCTATGTATAGTATGTTACATTTATTAAAAGCAGTTATGTAATTCCACATCCAATATAATATAAGGATATACACAAAATTTTCATAATAGTTGTCTTCATCTAGTGGAATTGAGAAAGTTTTATTTTTTTTTTACTTTTATATTCATTTTCATTTTCTACAATTATATGTACCAGTTTTACAATAAAATGAGAAATATAAATCTATGTATGTGATATTATAGGTTTGTACCCCTCTTCAAAAAGTGCATAGAAAAAATACTGCAGACTGTAACTGTATTATTAACTGTACTGTAAACTGTTAATAATGGTGGTCCTGGACTGGAGGGATTTTAAGAATTTTTATTCTTTATGTTTTACCTCTAATTTCTCTCTTTTTTGGTATAGTAATTTATCATTCATAATAAGAAAAATATGAGAATTGTCTTGCCATTAGGATGGAATACATTCCAAAGCCAAGCAATAGAAAATAATTGGTACTAAGATTCACTGATTTGGGTTCTTCTAAGCTCTAGTAGTATTCTACTCTGATCTCTGATTAGTAGTTAATCAAGTGACTATATAAATATAACCCAAGTTTCATTTTCCCACCTTAAAAAGAAGGTCATCATGCAGTCTGTATTCGGACCAGAAGAGCATTGCTAGAAAGTTCTAAATTCAACACAGCATCTAGGAGAGGCTTCTTTGCCTTCTGTCCTCGTATAAGCTGGGCTGAAAGCACAGATCGTACCCTTAGCAGACTTGACAGGAGTGCCAGCAGACACAGCCTGTGTGATGCCCACATGTTAGGAAGCGGGGGCCCTTCTCTGTTAGGACAGCCAGATGACGGCAGGAAGCCCACCTCACCACGTGGCTGGCGCTCTTCAGACACTCACAGAGGAGAGATGGGGAGGGGGTAAGGAGCAGACAAACTGGGGAATTCTCGCTCAGGCAGGGTAGAGGGGTGGCTTTCCTCCCCTGACAGCCTTGCAGAGAGGAAATAGGATGTGCTGATGTCATCATGGGGTGCCACTCATGCTGTCAGAGCAGCATCTTATTGCTGCAGAATAGTTGCCCAGCTTCCTCTTGCCAACAATCGCCGCCATCTGTGAACCATGACTAGAAACCCAACCCTGGGTTAAACTCTCTACATGCGGTCTTCCATTTAACCCGCAAAGAGTCCCATGAGAAAGACATTTGCTTTCCCCAATTTACAAATAAAAAACTGAGGCACAGAGAAGTTAAGTATCTCTGTCTGTAAGATTGGAATATTAGGGACATACTTATACTAAAAAAATGACTCCTATGTCTGCAATTTAAATTGAGCTGGCTCTTCTGTACCCCTCTTCCTGCCCTATCTGCTACTCTCATTTGGGTGTCACCCCAAGACTAATTAGGCACCTATCACGTGGGGATCCCAGTCCCCGACCGCATGGTGGCTAGAGTTGGAGTGGGAATGTGGTCCAAGGTTGTCTGCTTTCAAAGCCACCCTTTGCAAGCACAGAGCAAGACTCCGAGGAGGCAGCGGAGCCGCTGCCGTCCAGGAGAAGAATGAGAATAGATAGTGAACACGGGACCTGAGAAGAAAGGCCTACAAAGGCATGCAGTCACAGGCGTGATCTATTTGACCCAAATATGTTTCCTTAAAAAATGGATTAACATATGCACACTACTATATATGAAATGGGTAACAAACATGGACCTACGGTACAGCCCAGGAGACTACACTCAACATTTTGTAATAACCTATGAAGGAAGAGAATCTGTAAAAGAATATATATATATATGGCTAAAGCACTGTGCCATACACCTGAAACTAACACAACATTGTAAGTCAACTCTACTTTAAAAACAAACAAACATAGAATGGAAGACCTGCAAATGGGGCATGCCACCTCCAGCTCCCCTGAGACCCCAGCCCTTTCACTCATTCCCCTGGCACTGACTACCTCCCATGAGCATTCGAGTCCTCACCTCTGTTTTATTTGCTATAGAGAATGACAGGGGTCAAGAAGTGATGTAAAGTCCTGGGACAGTATAAAGGTGAGAAAAGTCTTTTCCAGCAGGGGACTCAGAAGAGAGCCTGAAAGGGGAAAGTGTTCAGATGAATCTCCTTCTCATGTTACTTCCCTGAGTACTGCCAGCAAGATGCACTGTATAAATGAGATGCATTCATTCATCTACCCATATTTACTGAACATCCAAGATGGTTGGATGGCGTCACCAACTCAATGGACATGAGTTTGAGCAAACTCCGGGAGATAGTGAAGGACAGGGAAGCCTGGCATGCTGCAGTCTATGGGGTTATAGAGTCAGACACAACTGAGCAACTGAACAACAGCCTTTGTAGGTGCTTGAAGGTGTAGTTAGGAACACGACAGACTGAATCCCTGCCTTCGATGATTTTATGTTCTAGCAAGGAAGGCAGGATAACTAAGTTGCTAGGTAGTAAAATGTACTCTAAAGAAAAATAAAGCAGGAAGAGGGGATGGAGAATGGTGAGGGAAACATCTTTCTGTAGGTTAATTAGGAAAGTCTCTGCTGAAGTTGGGACATAAACAGAGAGTAAAGTGAAGGAAAAAATCTTGTGAAAAGAGGGTAAAGGGCTTTCCTGGCAGAAGGCACAGCTAGTGCAAAAGGCGGGAGTAGGGTTAGCCCATACAAGGAGCTGTAAGGAAGCCAGGTGGCAGAAACATGAGAGGTGGCAGGGAGTAGGGTAGACAGTGAAACCATAAAACATGAGGACCTAGGGGTGCGGTCATGGAGGGCCTTTTGGGTCAGGCTAGGGACAGTGTGTGGAGAAGGCAATGGCACCCCACTCCAGAACTCTTGCCTGGAAAATCCCGTGGATGGAGGAGGCTGGTAGGCTGCAGTTCATGGGGTCACAAAGAGTTGGACACGACTGAGCGACTTCACTTTCACTTTTCACTTTCATGCATTGGAGAAGGAGATGGCAACCCACTCTAGTGTTCTTGCCTGGAGAATCCCAGGGACGGTGGAGCCTGGTGGGCTGCCGTCTATGGAGTTGCACAGAGTCAGACACAACTGAAGCAACTTAGCAGCAGCAGCGACAGTGTTAGCAAGGGGGGATGCAAGCATTGGACTTACATCTCAGGATTATTGTGAACATTGAATAAATTATCCATGGCAAGTGTGAACATGGTTGCATCATTAATTCTATACATGTTGTGGCCACTCTTATTCAAGGTTCAGGGCATATTTTTATTGAATTAACCCAATTAATGTGTAAGCTGTAGCTTTAACAGTCCATTGTCAGGGAAGCCGTTTCTCTCAGCACAATAAATGATTTTGTTGGGAAGCATGAACTCTGCCCTCAAAGACCTTGAGATGTGCACACTTAGTTCTTGACATGAGCCAGCTTCCATAGCAGTCCCGTCCATTGACCCCCTCTTTTCCCTGCCCTACCACCCCCACCCCCATCCTGCAAAAGAAAATAAATAAATAAACTTCTTTACGAGCTTACTCTCACTGTCATTGTGGTTTCCTCCACAGATAAAACTGTGAAGCTGTGGAAAGTCAGCGAGCGTGATAAGAGGCCAGAAGGCTACAATCTGAAAGATGAGGAGGGCCGGCTGCGAGATCCTGCCACCATCACCACCTTGCGGGTGAGCACAGCCGTCTTTCAGTTTCCCTGGCAACCAGGGTCAGGGGAAGTTTGACCACACACTGGCTGCTATTGAGGGTTACAGCTCTCAGCTGTGAGGGAGGGAGATCAGACAGAAACCCAGGCTCCCTGAGTCCCTGGTGGCAGATGGAGGAGCAAGAAGGCACCAAACTGTGATGACTATAAGTCCACGCATTTCCTTTTGTCACCAAGGACTTGCCCACAGGACTGCTATACATTACTATGTTCCTAGCCTCAGTCTGTTTGCATCATCAAAAGCATCCTGAGCATCTTCAAGGTACGGGGATAGGACAACTCATATGGGAAGTTGGAATCTTGTGATGCAGAACATAAACTTTTAAATCAAACAGGCACAGGCCTGGGTTCAAATTCTGCCACTTACATAGTCACGTTCCTTTTTCATTTTTTGTTTAACTTTTATTGGAGTATAATTGATTTACAATGTTGTGTTAGCTTCAAGTGTTCAGCAAAGTGAATCTATTATACATATATCCATTCTTTTTTTAGATTCTTTGCTCATATAGTCTATTGCAGAGTATTAAGTAACATTTTCTGTCACATTCTCTTTTTGAATTTCAGTCATGCAAGTTATTTTTAGTTTCTCTGTCTGTAAAACAGTGAACCTAGTACTTTACTGTGCGTGGACTTCTAAAGCTAAAATGCAGTATGGATGGAAGGCCCTTACTCCATGGCTGGTACTCTAGAAATGATCTCTACTCTTAGTCTAAGTAGCTTCCTCCCTGCCATTCAGACGTGCACAGTCTGGTAAGAAAAGAGGATGTGCAGGACTAACATGTAAATGTTTATAACACTACATCAGTTCAGTTCAGTGGCTCAGTCTTGCCCGACTCTTTGCGATCCCGTGAATCGCAGCTCAGCAGGCCTCCCTGTCCATCACCAACTCCTGGAGCCTGCCCAAACTCATGTCCATTGAGTCGGTGATGTCATCCATCCATCTCATCCTCTGTTTTCCCCTTCTCCTCCTGCCCCCAGTCCCTCCCAGCATGAGGGTCTTTTCCAATGAGTCAACTCTTCGCATGAGGTGACCAAAGTATTGGAGTTTCAGCCTCAGCATCAGTCCTTCCAATGAACACCTAGGACTGATCTCCTTTAGGATGGACTGGTTGGATCTCCTTGCAGTCCAAGGGACTCCCAAGAATCTTCTCCAACACCACAGTTCAAAAGCATCAATTTTTCGGTGCTCAGCTTTCTTCACAGTCCAACTCTCACATCCATACATGACCACTGGAAAAACCATAGCCTTGACTAGACAGACCTTTGTTGGCAAAGTAATATCTCTGCTTTTTAATATGCTATCTAGGTTGGTCATAACTTTCCTTCCAAGGAGTAAGCATCTTTTAATTTCATGGCTGCAGTCACCAACTGCAGTGATACAGAGTGAGATAAATGCAATGAGAGTCAGAGCTGCAGTTTGATCAAAGGAGGAAGAAATTATGTTTGGTTCTGGGAGACCAGAATAGGTCTGGCAGGGAAATGGTGTTAGAAACGGATTTCGAAAAGCTGACTTTTAAAGGATGGCCCTCTAGATAAAGAGTAAAATGATTTAGGACTGAGTGATGACTTTAGTTTTGGAGTGCTCAATGTGAATGGTAAAGCAGGCCGGTTTTGAGAGCAGCTCTGGCTCCAGGCAACTTCCAGAATTGGGTAAAATATGTGCTTTCAGATGCCAGCAGCTGTACTAAAGACCGAAACCTAGGAAAAGAGATGCAGAAGTTGTTGTTGTTATTTAGTAGCTGATTTGTGTCCAACTCTTTTTGCAACTCCATGGACTGTAGACCACCAGGCTCCTCTGTCCATGGAATTTTTCAGGCAAGAATACTGGAGTGGGTTGCCATTCCCTTCTCCAGGGGATCTTTGCGACCTAAGGGTCAAAGCCACGTCTCCTCCATTGGCAGGCAGATTCTTTACCACTGAGCCACCTAGAAAGCCCAGACACGGAAGTACTTGTGGGAAAAAGAGGTTGTATCCCTACGTTTGGAGACAGATGTGGGAACTGGATGATCAGTGAGTTTCATGATTATCTGGCTTGTTGGTTTGTTCATTCATTCGTTCACTTGTTCATCTGTTATTCAGCAGATGCTTTTTGAGCACAGACTCTGCTGGCTATAGAGCTGGGCTGTTGCATGTGTATGCAGTAGTAATTGATACCTGCTCTTCTATTGAACTTCTTATGGGCCAACAAACATTGGTGGCTGTTTCCTCCTGTCTGCCTGTGCCTTCAACATGGAGAATGGCCATGGACATCCACCTTATCAGAGTGGGTCAGTGCTGTAACTACCTAGAGGTTTTGGAGACCCGAAGGCATAGTAGTGAAGAGTATGAACACTGAGTCAGTCTGTCCTGGGATAGAATTCTGGCTCCATTCCTCTCTGGCTGGGGCCTTGGACACATCACTTAAGTGCCTTGTGCCTGCCTTATCATATCTGCACAACAGGGTTGAGGGATGGTCACTACTTCCTGGGATTGTTGTGAAGATTCAGTATTGATGGTTTAGAATTACTCTCATCAGCAGCATTTTCATGGCTCTTATTACCCCCTAGTGATAGTAGGTCGTCTACATGTTTGAGAAAATTCCTATTTTCCTTTCCATATAATTTTTATACTATTGTCTTCACTGCTTAAGGTATTGAGTGATGTCTACTAAGTGGCAAGCACAGTGCTGGTGATACAGAAAGAGTAAGACAGTTATTTCATCCCTTAGGACTTTGCAGTCCTATGGGAGAAATGGATCAGGGGGCCACTGGGGAGTTTATAACGTGAACTTCTGCCCAGATGTTACCTTGCCCTTGTTCGCTTTGTGGATGGAATTTCTCAGGTGCCACAGGCTCCACTGTGAATTCCAGTTGTCCATGCATCCAGTGAGATTTCATACATCTGTTTAGCCTCTAGGAGAATGCCATTCCCGTGATGAAGAGGAGAGACTGACTCTGTAAATTTCACTAGCACAGAGATTGTCCCCCAAATGATGCGGTGATGTTATAAAGTGGACTTGTACATATCAAACATGGGAGGGGACCCTGACAGGTGGCTGGGACTTAGAAAACCCCAGTTCTGGTTCTTGTGTCTTTATCTGTGGGCCAGTGAACTACCTTGGGCCAAAGAATCACATTTCTTCTCTTCACACTTAGTTTCTAAGCTACTGAACAGAGGACTGCACAGTGGCAGTGGTCCTGCAACCATGGGGGCCAGTTACAAGTGCAGATTACCAGGACTCAGCCCCAGTGATCCTCTGCACCAAGTTGAGGGGTCCAGAGGGATCAGTATTTTTATCCTGAGCCCCTGGTGATTGAGACAAAGGGCTCTGTTATCCCTGGACTTTCAGCATCTCTAAGGCTCTTCCAAGCTCTAGTTTTTTATGAGCCTCTGTTACTTTTCGATCATCTCAACAGTTAATATACCAACTCACAAAATGCATTCGCTATCATATTGTAAAATTCTGGCCTACCTTCCTAGGCTTTTAAGCATCCTCATTTTAGTGTAAACATCCACACTCCAGCGTTCTTTCAGTGCAAACACTGAAAAGGCCAGCCTTCTTTCTCTCTGATTCCAGTGGTAGAAGAAGAAACACCAGGCAGCCCTGAAAACCATCGTTTCAGAACAGTGACTCCAAACAGAATAAGCTGATGTGATGTTAATCAGACCATAATTTACTAACACGCTCTGCTCTTGAAATTTGCATTGCCAGCAATTGTGGCTTTTTTTCCCCTTCCCTGTCCTGTGATTACCTCTCATTCACTTTCATAGTTTCCAGTTCTACGTGGATTTTGAGAGTGAGAATATTTAATAATACCCGACAGCTAATTAATCCTCACTGAGTAATGAACCTGCTATGTTTCAGTTCTGGGAGGCTCAGCTTTTCAAAGTATGAGTGTGGTTATTTTTTTTTTTTCCTTTTTTCATGCAAGATAACCTTTCAAATCCACTCACTCATTACCCACAGAGACTATGAGAAGCACTTCTATGAACCCTGTATCTCCTACTAAGTATTATAACATTCAAAGTAATAATCATGATGAGAGTTTTGTAAAATACCATTTTTATCACAAATTGTTTACTTACCTGATTCCCTGATTCATCTTCAGACCAGTCAGCGAGGAAGGCAGGTAGAGATGCTGGGGGCTAGTGTTTATTGTGCATTGGCTGTGTGGCATGTTGCACACTGCATCTGTGTTGGCTGCTTCATGAGGTACAGTTCACTGTTAAATTCCGTTGAACCTGTGAGCTTCACAGAGTTTCAGTAAGATGTCCAAGACCAGGCAAGGCTAAGCATCAAACCCTGATCTACAGGGCCGTGAACCCTTCAACCTGATGCTGCCTGAGAGAGGGGAAAATGACTTACCCAGTGTCGTCACCTGGGTACCTCCAAGCTGGGACTAAAGATCAGGAGCTATGACTCTTCCACTTGGACACAGACATTGGACATTGGGCCTTTAAATGGTTTTCTTAATAATCAGTGCTGTTATTATGTATATGTGTCTCTCTATGCCTTTCTCCTCTCTCATCCACACATGCACACACATTTCCAGACCTCTGACCTCACCCTGAGGTCTTACATAGTTCTACTTAGCAAGAGTCTCCATGCCCTTCTTTTCAACTTTCCAAAGCCCACAGCTAGGAGGCCCTTTCTTGGCAACAGAAACTCACAGTTGAAGTAATTTAATTAGCCCAGGAGGGGAGCTGTGTGATGAGAAATCACACTTAGCACATGTGTCCTTGCAGAATGAACCTGGAGTTATTATTTCCCTCATTAGGCTCGGCTGCTGAGGAAACTCAGGCCAGGTGGAAATGTGCTTTTGAACCAGTTATGATACAAATATTGAGTCTGGAAGGTGTGGGCTCCCAACCTGTGAGTTGCCATAACCAGCCCTGCTGCAAAATGAAGGGGATGTAATGAACTCAGGCTTTCTAATGGATATTCCTTATAGCTAAGAATAATAATAATAGCCACGTTTATTGAGT